GCTGAGGCAGACAAGTTCCTTGGACTGTTTGGTTTTTTTTTCTTGGATCTGTTCAAACCTGCTCTGGACTGAAAACCCAACCAACGCCTGTGGCCCACCAGGGCCTGGGCCTCGGCACTTTCAGGCACCGGAGGGACTGATAAGAACCTGAGCGAGCTGAGCTACACCCCACGAAAAGGACTTTTTCTGGATTTCCTATCTCATCAAATAGCAAGAGGTTTTATTGTTTAATATTATTCAGTTTCTGTTAAATAAACAGGTTTTTTCCACTTTTCTCCAAGGAAATCTTTTCCTGAACCAGTTGGAGGAGGGGCTGCCTGAATCTGTTTTCTGGAGGGACCCCATTCAGAGGTTCTTTCCCAGATTTGTCCTAAACTCAATTTTGAGACAAATTCAAGAGAGGACACTCTGCAGTGAGAAGTCTCCATTAAAGGAGTTCAACAATTCTCCTTCACCAATAGAAAATGAGTGCTAATACATGAAAACAAAAAAGCCCAAATCAAACCAATGGCTTATCAACAAGAGAATGCCCTCAAGGCAAGAAACAAATAAATAACTGTAAAACACCAAACTTTGAGAACTTCTCCCCCACCTCCCACAAGAACAAAGACCCCAAAATGCCCAGAGAATGGTGGAAATGTTGGAGAACTACCCTTTTGGACACATGGTGCGAGATGGTGCCAGCTTTCACTCTGAGGAAAGAGGAGCTTCCACAGAGGAGTTCCAGCAGGAGGCAAAACCCTAGTGGCTCCCTGGCATCGACCTTCTCTCCACAGCAGTCATGGGGTGTTGTGTTGCACTAAGACATTTACACTAAGTGGTTTTTCACGGTGTTCCCCTAGGTTTGTGACATTTCCCCTCACCCCACCCCTTTGGTCTCATCTCATTGGTTGTAATTCTACTCTCCCCCTCCCCTTCCCTCCCAGTTTAAAAGTTCCCACCATTTCTTGTTTTGCTCTTTTTCTTCCCTGGAGTGCGTTCTGTGAATAAACTGGGACAGTGTCCTGGAAAAAAGAGCTTCCTTCATTTTTTACCTTTGTCCATTGTCGAATCCTCACTCCCCCCCAGTACACAAGGAGCCACCTGGGTAACCCCTGGGGCTGGGAATAGAGGATGATGACACTGGGCATGAAACAGCTGGTCTGGAGCCTCTTTTTCTCCCTTGGCTCCCTGAGGCGTGGGGCTGGAACAGGGCAGCCCTGCTCCCCAGTAGTCCCACTCCACTCTCACACCTGCAGCTCTTGAGTTCACCTCAAGGCAGATGGAAGATTTCTTGTGCAGCTGCTCCAGGCCAGGGAAGGGAACAGCTGCCTTGGGCCAAGGAAACCAAGCTAGCCAAACAGAACCAAACCTCACAGAGCCATGGAACACCTTGGCAATGTGTCTTCAAACATCCCCACCAAAAGCCCCAAAGCTCCCCCATCTCCAGCCCAACACAAACAGGGTCTCGGGCCTTAAAGGTACCATTTTTGGGCATAAAGCACAGGATCATGTAATAGACTATCATCATAAATCACTTCAAGACATTCTGATAATTCAGTATCTGGACAGTGATGAATATATTGTTATTAGCATCTCCTATTAAGTAACTGCATTCTTCACAGAATCAGAGAATCATGTAAATTGGAAATGACCCTGATATCATGAAGTACAGCCTTTGACCAAACACCATCCTATCAAATATACTGTGGCCCTAAGTGTCACTGTCCAGTCATTTGTTGAACGTTTCCAGGTATGGTGACTTAGCCACATGACTGAGCAATTCATTCCAAAGCTTAACAGACCTTTCTGTTAAGAAATTCTTCCCCATGTTCTGGTATTGCATTCAGTCTGACTCTGCACTGACAGTTGACAGAGAAACTGCCACAGTTTCTACTCACATCCAAATGGCATGCTGAGCTTTGGAACCTGAGTCCTGCAATGCACATTAATCATGCATAAACACATACCCAAATTTAGTCAGAGGCTGTGTGGGGGGAAAAAAAAAAAAGGTAAAAGTAGTCAGAACTAATAACTGTGTACAAGAACAAAACTCTGAGTCTCAAACCAGTCTGTGAAATGTGAATTAAAATAAACAATAACTTAATTTCCTTTCTTTTTAAAAAGGCCAAGTGCTAGAAAAATGCATGATCATTTGAAGCAATTACCTGAATGCACCTGATTAATGACTCTTACAGTACTTATTACTATGATCTTAGCACTGACTATTTAACAAACATACGATTTTTAGCAAATCTGTGTCCTGAAGAGTTTGTAATGAGTCACTTCAATCATGAAGAGAGCAGTCATCATCTCAATTACACTGCGCAAGTAAAAGTGTATGGGTAGATAACCACTCACCTCTCACAAAAACAGGGATGTCAAAGGACCTTGGCTAGCTGACAGGTATCCACCAACTCTCACTCTTCCTTCTCAAAAGGATAGGAGGAGAAAATACAATGTAAAACATTTTAGCTCAAGACAAGAGTTAGATCACCAACTACTCTCATGGGCAAAACTTAACTTGGCGAAGTTTCATTTAATTTATTAGTAGTTAAAACTAGAGTAGAAAATAAAGAAAAAAACCCTGAAATCAAAACCACCTTCCCACCACCCTTCTTTCCGGACTCCACTGAAGACTCATGACTCTTCCCTCCCTACGCTAAATCCTTGCTTTTGTCAGTCCCTCCCACAGGAGACAATCTTTCATAAACTGGTCTAATATCTGTCCTTTCCAGGAGCTATGGTGTTCCAAGAACTGTTTCAGTATGAGTCCTTTCCAGGAAGTATAGTCCCCCAGGAACAAACTGCTTCATCCTGGTACCCCATGGGACACAATTCCTTCCAGAAAACATTTTCCTGCATTAATTTCTCTCCATGGACCAGAAGTCTGCTCCACTGTAGGCTCTTGAAGTGCTTCTGCAGACTCTCCACCTGCTGAGGAATGGAGTTTTCCATAGGCTACAGGGGGACAACCTGCTTTACCATGGTCTTCTCCTTGGGTCACAGAGAAATATCTGTTCCACCAGCTGGAATACCTTCTTTCCCTCTTTCACTGACCTTATGTCAGGATTTTTGGCAATAGAGAAAAGATACAAATAAATTATTAGTGTTTTGAGTAAAAGCTTATTTCCCCTTTTATTAAAAGAAATATTTTGGTTGATAAGACCAAATATTAATTAACACATAATCAATTAATAATTAGTTTTCAATTATCAATTAAATATTTCGTTTTGAAAAGCAAGGTTTATCACAGATCGTATTTTGGTATCTGATTTTTCTTTTAACTATTTCCTTAAATGAAGCAGTGCAACAGGAATGAAAAAATTTGTCTATTTTCTCCCAATTAACTAAGAACTTATGATCATTGTGGGAGTGTATATGCTTGGTTTTTTGTGTGTTTTGGGGGGGATTTTTTTGGGTAGAACTTACTCATTTCTGCTGTATTTTATTTATAAAATAAGCTATACATTTTAATGACCAAAACAAAAATTTGGTAATGTACTTCAGCATTTTATCTTTTCTTTCAAAGAAACTTTAAACCTACTGTTTATTAACTATGAAGTGGAAAAATTATATTGGACCTGCTATTTTCAAGGATGCTGCTGTGAAAAACAAGGTGCTTCAAAACAGGTGACAACTTTTAGAGGCTTAAAGTTGCTATTATGTATGGAAAGATGGAAATGACTGTGACCTTAATTTATACAGAAGAAATTAAGGCAAGTATAAGAAAGCTACACAAAGTAATGAATGGCATAAGGAGAATAAGCTCAGCATCCCCACCTACCCTTTCACTTGAGGCAAGATTGGAGATTTTCAAATACTGGTTATTTGAAATTGCTAATCAAGTGCTTTCCTAAATGTGATTGTTCTGTTGTCTCAGTAATACTGTATTCAAAATGGAATACATTACATTTCCATGGAAATAATTTTTCAACAGCTTGTAATATTAGTAACAGAACTGTAGATAAACAGTAAGAGAAGGAAAAAATTTAAAAATGGGTGAGGAAGAACAGAGGTCTCTCCAGCTGGGATGTGAAATGAACTGATGAGGCAAAGTAATTAAGTTACGAACGAAACAGGTTCACATCACATTAATTATATAGAACTTTCACACAAAACCCCTATACTATACAGAATGATACTAGAAAGTACTTTTTTTTTTTTTTGTCATAAACACAGACAGGGAGAGAAATAGGAAAAGACACGTTATTGGAAATACAATGAGCTGAAAGTTTCAAACAAATGGGATTTAATCCCAGCCTACATACAAAATCTTAGCAGGAAAAGTTCTGCTACAAAGGTTTGGAAGGGAGGCAGCATTCACCAGTGAGGAGTACCTAGATGACTCGAATGTTGTAGGTGTCTGATGTTTTAGGTGCCTATGTACTCTTTACAACATTTACATCTTTACAATACTTTTTTTACAGATTCACCTGGTAGATAGCAGTTTTAATAGCCTGCTGTGGTGGGTTGACATTGGCTAGCCACATGGTGCTCACCAAGCTGCCCTATCACTTCCTTTTTTCTGGTCAGAGAAAAGGAAATATGACAAAATGTTCATGACTCAATATAAGTTAAAATAGAAATATAATTAATGTCAATATAAAGACAGGGCAGGAAGAGATCACTCATCCATTACTGTCATGGGCAAAACAGTTGGCCTGGGAAAACTGGTTTAATTAAATGCCAGTCAAAAGTCAGAACAAGAAAATTAGAAGTAAAAGCAAATCTCAAAGCATTTTCTTTCCACTTCTCCTTTCTTCTCATGCTTGACTTCACTCGCAGTTTTACCTCCTTCCCACTGAGCAGCACAGAGGAACAAAAAATGGAGTTCATGTTCCGTTCATTTAATGTTGTCTCTGCTGCTTCTTCCTCCCAGTACTCTTCCCCTGCCTCAACATGGAGTCTCTGCCATGGGAGACAGTCCTTTGCAAATCGCTCCAAGACAAATACTTGTCACTTACTGCAGTTCTTCATGAGCTTCATGCCCTCATCATCACCTGGTTACTGCCAGAAACCTGCTCTGTCATGGCAATCATGCCACATAAAACCAGTAAACCTTCTGTTCTTAAAAGTGCAAAGTGGCAAGAACAACAGCAAAATGTTTTGGTACATTGTAAAGTTCCTATATTTCTGCAGTAATTGAAATAATAAGTTAATGGTATAATGTTTATTAATTTTAAATTTTGACTCTGTTTTTTCCTCTTCTCTTTTAAACTTTCTAATGTTGTTCTGCTGAATCTACCAGTATTCATTCTGGATTTTTCTTTTAACATATTCAGAGAAAAAGCAGGTAATTGGTTTTTTCCTGCTTGTTTTATTATTTATATCCTTCTATATTCTCCTCCCTTTTTGCATCACCAGCTTCAAGGTAGTAAATGAAGATACATCAGTGGGGTAGGTTGGGCTGAAAGCCAAGGACAGTGACATTCAGGAGGAGAGGAGAAATCAGGAAGAGCAGGAGTGAGAAAGCCTGTGTATTTACATAGATAGAGAAATGGTTTACCAATTACTGTCACAGAGAAAACTGACTCAGGAAGTTTAACTTTCATTATTACCTGTTAAATATGGATACTTGAGTATTGATTCAGGTACTAGGAAACAAATCAAAAAGAGGGAAAAATTTTTGTATCTACAGAAAACATCTTCCTCCCACTTCTCCCCATCTCATTCCAAGGCTTGGCTCAGCTCATCTTCATTCCAGACTCCTCTCCTTCCCTGTTAGAAGTGACCATCTGCTACACTGAGTCCCTTCAGGGTGGAAACAGCAAACAGGTGGGAAACACCTGGTGGCCTCACAATCATGACCTTGATGTTCCTCTCCATTGTTCCCTCTCACATTCTCCTCTCATGGGTCCTCCATGAGTTGCTATTCCTGACAGAAATCTGTGCTTAACCTTGGATCACATCCTCCCTCTCCTTCTCTGACTTTGGTGTTCACAGGGCTATTTTTTATACTTTTTCCCCCTCACTCTTCACTGCCAGGTCTGCCAGGTATAATTATTGTGCTATCTTAGATAGCATTTTTCATTAAAGTGCCTCTCAGACAAGCTAAGTCCTCACCTCAGCCTTAGCTCTGTCCTGCAGTGTGTCCATTGGAGACAGCTGGAACTAGCTTTGTCTGGCATGAAAGAAGTGAACGTTTGTAGAAAAGTGGCATAACTAAGCTTATCTCTGTTTCAACATCAAGTCCAGCTTGTATTATGATGGTTGGCTACATGCTTTCCCTTCAGCCATGGGATACCATTGTGAATCAGTTCCTCTGTGATTGCTAAAGCTTTTTAAGAAAAACAAGGGTATTTGTGAAATAGTGCGAAGAAAGCTCTGAGTTGATTTTAGTCTTAATGACAATATTCGTTTTCAAAGGAAGAAAAGATTGTAGAAATATTTATTATGCACAATATATCGATTTTTTTACGCTAGTGAAAGCCATCTGATGCTTTTTTAGTAAGAAATTTACCATACAAAATAACAGTATTTCCATTGTACTGTTTATTTAGTTTAAAAAATATATGGGTACCAGTTCTCCTGAAAGGCAGAATAAACAAATGTGTATGTGGGCCATGATCTTTATAAGAAAGCCTCAGGCCAAGTTCTTTTACCATCTCACAAGGAACAGCTTTCCTGTCATGCTTCTCTCCTGGGAGCCTTGCAGGATCACAGGCAAACTACAGATTTTCTGTTGATTATTCACACCACAGTATTATCTTAGCTCTCAAGTTTGACCCACTTGTTTTCCTAGTCTCCCTGGAGCTGCATGATTTTGCCATGTGCTCTGAGCAGCTTCAGCATACTTTCTGTCTGCTGCTTTTATTAAAGATTTGCACCTGTTCAATTTAATACTACCTATCTTTTCTTTCCAAATTCCTAGTAGTACATATGAACACCCCAGTTTTCATTTTATTTTGTATTAGGTTCAGGTGTTATCTGTCTTTCAGTTTCTTTTTTCATGTCTTTCATGTCTTCTCTTTGATGTTGTAGTCAGGGTTGTCCTGTGCTGAACTGCACATCTTGCAATTTTACCTTGACTCACACAGTTTGGTGGGACTTCCACAAAAGGTGAGTCAGCAATGATGCCATGATAACAGAATCTGCCTAAGCATTCCCTAGATATTTTAGATCTGTAATTACCTTTTTCTACTCCATGCACTCTATGTTTTATTCCTCTTCCCTCCTGCATTACCAAGTGTTTGGTTTTAGATCACCTCTCACTCTTTCATGCCCTTACTACAGCAAAGGACAGTTCCTTTATTTGGTTCTGATGGTTTATGTGAATGAAAGAAAAGGGCCACTAAATATACATCCAAGATGACTTTCTTTTGGTTTTAGTTTCACTCACTTAAGACATAAATCAAACTGTCAAAAGAACTATTTACTGATCTCTATCTGCATCAACTGCTGAAGATGTTTTACCAGCTTAGATACATCAAACAGCAGAGAAAGTTTGGGTGGTTTTTCGGAGAGAGATTGGTTTTTTTGTGTTTGTTTGGGTATTTTTTGTTTGCTTGTTTTTATGTGTTTGTTGTGGTGGTGGTAAGTGTTTCATTTGATGAGTTGTTTTTTAATTTTTTTCTTATGAGATTGAGACCAGGACTTGCACTCTGTATTTGTCTTCCTGTAGCATTTCAGTTTGTATTTAATGATGCCGTGGTGCCGGAGCCAGCTAGCTCTCCCCTCAACTCCGCGTCGGGAGTGGGACACACTTCAGGAGCAGGATGACCCAAGGTGTGGGTCAGACTTAGAACAAAGTTTATGGCACTTTTGGCTGGTCAGGCGCAGTATGGAGGCAAGAATGAGGGGAGATCGTTTGTATGGGTTTTGAAGATGGATTTCATCTCCAAAGGAGCCAGAGACAAAAGACACCAGCTGTATATGATGCAACATCTTATATACTGAGGACGAGTAAGGGGAGGATACAAATCATAAACCAATAGGGAAGACATAGGGGAGGAGTTTAAGGCTGAGCTTGCAAGGCATAAACCAATGGGAAAGCTTGGGGGGCAAGAACAGGTAATGAAAACCAATGGAGTGTCAAATACAATATGATTGACAGGGAGGATTCTAGAACAAAGGGTAGGTGCTAAGTAAGACTGACAGGGAAGGATCTGGATAAAGAGGTAGAGTCACAATTACTGACAGGGAAGGCACTGGAAAAAGGGGTTGGGGTACAATTGTTGATGGCAGTAGGGAGGAGAATACAACTTGGAACAAACTAACATCAGAAGGGGAAAACAGAACAAACCATTTGTGCAACAAACCTTAAACTTATTAAACAAAATCACACCACATAATAATATCCATTTTCTTAAACTGGGATTAAAACCAAACACTGAGACTTTATTTCCTTGGTTTTCTTTCTGTGTTTTTACATGAACCACATTTATAATGAAGCAATTCAGAGAGCTCAGAAAACACCAAGTTATCATAATCTCTTCATCTTTCTGTGGAATGTGTGGATTTTTCAGCTGAGCATTCAACAGCCTTTACACTTGGTTTTGTTTGGGTTTTTTTCAGCCTTTCTGCTGTAAGTTGAATCTGCCACATGTGATATTCATTATCTTTGTGTAGTATTATTGAGATTTAATTTTATGAAGTATCCTGTTTTACTGTTCCGCTCTGTGTAGTGGCTTAGTTTGTTTGAGTTTTTTGTTTGTGTTTTTGTTGTTGTTGTTGGTTTTGGTTTTGGTTTTGGTAGTGTAGTGTTCTCTTTTTTTGGCTGGTTGGTTGGGTGGCTTTTTTAATCAGGATATAGCATAAGCATTCTGGCACTGTTACACAGTCAGTAATCATATTTTACAATCAACCTGAATTTCTTAAGGGATCTTTAAATTTTTATACCCTGAGCTCCTCCAGTATACTCTTCTTCACTCCAAAACTCAAGATTTATATGCCATCTCTTTGTCACACAATAGCATAATTAAAATCAGGAAGAACAAAATTATGAACATGAAAATATTTCACCCATTTATGAACTATGTTGGGCACACATTGCTCATATATTCAGGATGGTTTAGCTAACTATCTCTTTTTAAAAGAATTCTTTATTCACCTTGCTCTAGTCACAATTCCAGTTATTATGATCTATAGGAAGTAGCAGTTTTTTATGCTCCTGGAGCCTCTTTCTGCTTTTCATGCCATTTTTAATGCTTTTATTTAGTCATTTTTATAAAAGACTTTATAGGAAACAATATAAAATACATTTTTTTTATAATTATCTTGAAATCTACTGCTTATTATGGTATATCAGAAAATTAGTATAGATAAATCCCAATTTTATTCACATTTTAATTACGTTACTTCTATTTCTTCTTCATCAGACTTCAATTGAATGTCACCAATTCTAAAATATTTCTTTGCAGAAACAGATTTTTTAAACTGAATTTTAAGTTAGGTGTCAACACTTTTAAAAAGTTGTTTTACAAATTGACATAACTCTGATGTTAGCTCTGATTTTGTGGCTTAGTTTGTACAGAAGGAATAAATAAAACATGTTATATACTGATGAAAAACAGATCACTGTTTGTTAGAGTAATAGAGAGTGAGTTTAGGGATATTGATTATCCCAGTTTAGGGATATTGACTGCAGTGCACTAAACTGATAATCACTATTTCTTGGTACAGTTTTGTTGCTTTATTCACTTAAGAGATGATGTGCTGGAATAAAGAAGGTGAACTTTCATTTCTGATCATGCAAATTCAAACCAACTGTTTTCTGCTGAAGAGAGGTAAATAGTACCATTCTAATTACAAAAAGCAATCTTGATAGAAGTCTGAGGTGAGGGAGTCAAATCCTAATTTTTTTTCAAAGGCAATGAGTGATTTAGTCTTTTATCCAAGTGGTAGAATGTGTAGTGTAGCAGACTTTGTATTTTCTCAGTAACCATTTACTGTCATTGAAAGTATAAAGTCTGAAACCAAAATTTTAAACTACTTTGGTACTACAGACTTTATTGACATGGAATAAAGTTTTCTACATGAAGAAAATTATTATAAGGCTTGATTCTTCATAATTTTTTATTATAC